AGTTAGAATTCATTACCAACCCACTAAAGATTGGATCTTACATCACAAGTTGTTCCCAGCTATTACTAGTTATTATTATTTTAATCCAGAACTGCAGATTACTGCATCTTCAATAGAAAAAAAAAAAAAAAAAAGTTCTTTCTTTACATCTGCACTAGAGGAATTTAATTTTAGACATTTATTTTGCTAGGTTGTGCTGTTTTCTTTTCCTATGTTAGAGTTAATTTTATGAGCAAATACATTTTTAATAATCAAGATTTGAAAGATGTTTTAAAAAATGAGCAATCAAAGCTGCTTAGAAAATGTAGATCAACAGTGAGCAACAAATCTCAAAGCAGAGGTTTTATACATACGTTTAAGACATACATGTAGGATGAATATACAGGCATAACTCGTTTTATTGCACTCGGTTTATTTTGTGGCAACCCTGCATGGAGCAAGTCTATCAATACAATTTTTCCAACAGCATGTGCTCATTTTGTTTTTGTGTGTCACTTTCTGGTAACTCTCACATTGTTTTAAACTTTTTCATAATGTTGGACACTTAAGTTTAACTTAAAGTTAAACATAACTTTTATATGCACTGGGAAGCTAAAAACTTCATGTGACTGGCAATATTCACTTTATTTTGGTGGTCTGGAACTGAATCTTCAATATCTCCAAGATACGTCTGTACAGTTAAGCAGTTAGGAAAAGTAAGTTCATCAGAGGTCAAATTTTATCACAAAGGGATAACCTGTGTGAACTTCGCTTGAAAAAGATTCTTCATGCATACGTATAAGGCCTTGAAATGAGAGAGAAAGGGCTAAGAATATGACGACTTAGTTATTGATAAATAGGTAAGCAGATCTACAAGACTTTCTGTGAAATAAGCACAACTTAAGAAGCAAAAATTGTATGTGGGTGTAAACACTTACACTGTGTATTACTTATCAATTGCCATTTCAAATGTATTATCTTTCCTGGTTTCTAAGGATCAAGAGCCAGAAATGGCTTAGCAGGATGGTTCTAGCATAAGTCTCTCATTAGGTTGCATCCAGGGTTGCAGTTATCTGGAAGCTTGACTTGAAGGTGGAGGATATGCTTTCAAGCTCACACATTTGGTTACTGGCAGGAGTCCTCAGTTCCTCACCATATATTCCTATCCATAGGGCTGCTTATCATATGGAAATGGGTTTCTTCCAGAGCAAGTGCTCTGAAAGAAAGAGAGGTGAGACTGGCAATGCAATGCCTTTCATAACCTAATCTCAGAAGTGGCATTCCATTACGTCTGCCATTTTCTGTTGGTCACACAGGCAAACCCTGGCACAATATGGGATGGATCTACAGGAGCTGTAGATCCTTAGGGGCTATCTTGGAGGCTGTCTACAACATACTGTCTGAACCCTATTAGCATTAATATATAATAAACAAGTCATTAAGGCTTAAAACTCACTACCATCAAGTAAATTCCGACTCTTATTGACCATATTGGACAGAGTAGAACTGGCCCCATAGGGTTTCCAAGACTGTAAATCTTTAGGGAAGCAGACTGCCTCATCATTCTCCCAGAGTGTCTGGTGGATTTAAACTGCCAACCTTTTGGTTAGTAGCCCAATGCTTTAATCACTGTACACCAGAGCTTCTTCTATTAAGACTCACACCTACACAGAAATGCTATTTTCCTTTCTAAAATCTACCCTAAAAACACAGTGGTTTTAAAATATAAATATGGCTCTCCACCTGGCCTTTGCCCTGCTTGGGCAAGTGTTACAAAGCTCTTTTAACTCTGCCAGTAGGTACACCTAGGTACACCTCATTCCAACAGTGAGTCCTGTCCAAGGGCACTCATTTTTCTCACTCCATGGGCCAGGTAAGCTCACTGCTGTGTCTCATGCCTCTTGGTTCCACTGTCACCATCTCTCTGCCATGGTATCTCTCTGCTAGGGGGGTCTCTCTGCTGGGGCATCTCTCTGCCAAGGATGTCCAGTGCAGGGATCTCAGGTCCAAGGATGCACTCCACTTCACCTCTGGCTCTTCTCTCTTGATGACAGTGAGATTCACCCCTCTGCCTCTAGGAAGGCTCATTTTAAGACTGGCAGAGTGACAAAACTAGCCAGTCCCAACATCAGCGTTCTACACACTTTATTTGCATGGTCCCACCCAGTAATCTGGTGGAAGTTACAAGTACTATAGCTAGAAAAGAGAAGAGGCATTTCTTATCCTAACAAGAGAGACAAGGTGAGTGCAGATGTCAGTAAATTTTTAAGTAATGGGATTATTACCCCATTTTACAAGTGAAGCCAGCATTCAGAAGGTATTATTCAAAGCCCAAATTCTTTCCCATTCTCAGGATTGGATTAAGGCAGGCAAATTATCTAGTGCTTCAGGCAACATAATTTATGTTTTCAATCAATCTTCTGTAAGTATTTGTTTAATTAATTAGTCAAAGTGGGGCCACTCTGGCAAGAGTGGTATTTGCATATCCTTCTAGAGGGTGCTGTCTTCTTCCATAGGTATGGCAGCAATTACTCTTTTACAGGTTATTGATTCTATACTTAACTGGCACTATACTTTTTATTTCAACTCTATTTTATGCATATGTATAATCTATAGATTAAGAGACTTGGCACTGCTCGACTGCACCTTTCCCTTAACCAGCTCTTCCTAGATTGGTCGTTTTCAACTCTGATGGATCACCAGGTTACCTGTGGAGCCTTCTAAAACTATGGATGCCATTGGCAGGCCCCTAGACATTCTGATTCAGGGTGCTGGCAATAGGGCCGGAGAATAAATACTGTTAAAAGCTTCAGGGATAACGGTGATGTCCTACCAAGGTTGAGAACCATTATAGGACTGCCTTAGTAGATGGTGCTGAAAATGCCCCAGTTCTAACATTGCTTGTTTATACCCCTACTTGACTACTTTCTAAAAGTGCTTTTTGTTTTTTGGGTTTTTTTTTACAGAAGACATAGATGAAAATCTCCTGTTTTGAATTAAGATATGAAAGAATGCAAACTTTCCAGCATCTTCCTCTGTCCTGAACACTTCTGAAATACATGCAACTGTTAATACTTGTAGATTCATAGTTAGAAAATGTTTGCATAGCTGAAAAGACAACAAGAGTAACTGCTTGATGACAGTATATGCACCAGGCACTTAACATTAACTTTGGATATAAAATTGTAAAACTAAGTAAAGTCAATATATGCAAAATATTATTAGTTTGATTGTAAACAGTTTAACTCATAATAATTTTACTCTGTATCAGTATATGAGATACTTACTAATTATAAAAGAAAAAATTAATGCATTTACATTGCTCATGATATGCTCACGTCAAGAAAATGGAATAATGTTATTTTGTGGTTAATGTGTTATTATACTCAATGTCTTAATACCTTAATAAAGAGTCCATGAAAATCCAAATGTTTACCCATGTTTATTGCCATTTATTTGAACAGTAATATGTGAAAGGCTAAATTACTTATTGAAATATTAATCTGGTTTTCTTTCTCTATTTTTCTATATTGTCACTGATCAATGTATTTAATACTTTTAAGAGTAATGGGCTCAATCACTGATATAAAATAACTGTACTTTCTAGACCTTTACACTTAAAAAAAAAGTGTCAGTGTAGTTGGAGGAGACAATAATTGGTAGATCTTTTGTTTTCTGTGTGAAACAAACGTTTAGTTGTAAATGTTATTTGCTCATGAATGTCCTTATTCATTGAGTTTAAACAGAAAAAAAAAAAAATCTGAGTTAGGTGCTTGTTAACCAAATTAAAGATGTGGATGATCATGCAGTTTGATAAAATAATTTTAGCTTTTACACAGCTATACTAGCTGGCACCTAACAACAACAACATACAGGTGTGTCAGGAAAGTGGGGGGGCCCTGTAAAAATTTTCTCCATGCATGTCCTCAAAATAAAAATACTGCAAAGATAAAACAAAGTAGTAATAGGGAGTTTTGACATTTTTTTCTTTTTTAAGCCCACGTTTTTATTATTACATTCAACAGAATGAAAATTATTCTGTCAAATTGCTATGAAACAATTTTTTTCATTGTAATTTGCATGAAAGTTTACAGAGTAAATTCAACAGTTTATACACATTTTGCTTCATGACACTGATTGCAATCCACATAATAGCTCCCTTCCCACTTCCACCCTGTGAGTCTTGACATTTCTTAATGCCAAATATAATCAGAGGTTAATATTACTGCTGTACCTTGATAGCAAGAAAATGTGTCATAAGAGAATACTGATGTGAGCTCTTCATTGGTAACTATTACAGTAAAAGCCAGACTGAAAATATAAAAGACATCATAATAGATCTTTCTAGGATCTGAAGCAAGACAAAAAAGAAAAAAGAATCTGTCACTTTAGTGGTTTCAATATTTGAAAGAAAATCAATTATTTTTTAGATATTTTGCTACCTTCAATGATGTTGTTTTTGTTGTTGTTAGGTGCCATCTAGTTGGCTCTGACTCACAGCAACCCTATGTACAACAGAAGGAAACACTGCCCAGTTGTACAACAACCTCACAGTCCTTGTTAGACATGAGCTTATTGTTGCAGTCACTGTGTCCAATCCATCTAATTGAGGGCCTTCCCTTTCTTCGCTGACCTGCCACTTTACAAAGCATGATGTCCCTCTCCAAGGAATGGTCCTTTCTGACAATATGACCAACACAGGTGAGATGAAGTCTGTCCATTCTCACTTCTAAGAAGCATTGTGGCTGCACTTCTTCCAGGACAAATTTATTCGTTCTGGAAGTCCATGGTACTTTGAGTATTCTTCGCCAACACCACAACTCAAAAGCATCAGCTATTCCTCAATCTTCCTTATCCATTGCCCAGCTTTCACATGCATATGAGGCTACTGAAAATACTATGGCTTGGGTTAGGTGCATTGTAGATTTCAAAGAGACATATTTGCTCTTCAGCAGTTTGAAGAGGTCTTTTGCAGCAGATCTGCCCAGTCCAATGCCTTCTCATTTCTTGACTGCTGCTTCCATTAGTGTTGATTGTGGAACCAAGTAATTTGAAATCTTTGACAACTTCAACCTTCTCTCCATTTATTTTGATGCAGCTTATCAGTCCAGTTGTGAGGATCTTCATTTTCTTTATGTTGAGGTGCAATCCATACTGCACGCTGCAGTCTTTAATCTTCATCAGTAAGTGATTCAAGTCAGCTTCACTTTCAGCAAGCGAGCCTGTGTCATTTGCATACTGCAAATCGTTAACAAATCTTCCTCCAATCCTGATGCTATATTATTCTTCATATAGTCCAGCTTCTCAGATTATTTGCATACAGATTGAGGAAACATGGTGAAAGGATACAACCTTGACACCCTTTCTTCCTGATTTTAAGCTATGCAACGTCCCCTTAGGAGCTCTGGTAGCATAGTGGCTAAAAGCACTTGACTGCTAACCAGAAGGCTGGCGGTTCAAACCCACCAGCCACTCCTCGGAAGGAAGGTTGGGCAATCCTACTTCCATAGTGATACTGCCTCGGAAACCCAAGGAGGGGTCGCTATGAGTCGGGGCCGACTCGACGGCACATAACAACAACAATGTCCCCGTGTTCAGTTCAAAGAACCTCCTACTCTATGGACAAGTTCCTCCTGAGCACGATCAAGTGTTCTGGAATTCCCATTCTTCTCAATGTTACCCATTATTTGTTATGATCCACACAATTGAATGTTTTTATAGTCAATAAAACATAACTAAACATCTTTCTCATATACTTTGCTTTCAGCCAAGATCCATCTGACATCAGCAATGATATCCCTCATTCCACGTCCTCTTCTGAATCCAGTTTGCATTTCTTGAGTTTCCCATATGCTGGTGCAACCATTTTTGAAATATCGTCAAGATTTTACTTGCGTGTGATATTAATGATATTGTTTGATAATTTTCCCTTCCTGTGGGATCACCTTTCTTTGGAATGGGTACAAATATGGATCTCATCCAGTCAGTTGACCAGGTAGCTGTTTTCCAAATTTATGGGCATAGACGAGCAAGGGCCTCCAGCGTGGCATCCATTTGCTGAAACATCTCAATAGGTTATTTCATCAATTCCTGAAGCCTTGTTTTTCACCAATTCCTGCAGTGCAGCTTCAACTTCTTCCTTCAATACTATTGGTTCTTGATCATATGCCACCTCCTGAAATTGATGAAGATCAACCAATTCTTTTTCTTCAGTTCTTTCAGCTTGAGAAAGGCCAAGTATGTTCTTCCTTTTTGGTTTTCTAACTCCAGGTCTTTGCACATTTCATTGTAATCACTGATTTTTCTTCTTGAGCTGCTCTTTGAAATCTTCTGTTCAGTTCTTTTATTTTGTCATTTCATCCATTTGCTTTAGTTATTCACCATTCAAGGGCACCTTTCAGAGACTCTTCTGACATCCACTTTGGTCTTTTCTTCCTGTCCTTTTAAAGACTTTTTGTTTTCTTCAGGTATGATGCTCTTGATGTCCTCCCACAATTCAGCTGGCTTTTGGTCACTGGTGTTCAATGCATCAAATCTATTCTTTAGATGGTCTCTAAATTCAGGTGGGATATAATGAAGGTCATACTTTGGCCCTCATGGACTTGTTTTAATTGTCTTCAGCTTCACCTTGAACTTGCATATGAGCAGTTGATGGTCTGTTCCACAATCAGCTCCTGGCCTTGTTTTGGCTGAAGATATTGAGCTTCTCCATCACCTCTTGCCACAGATGCAGTCAATCTGATTCCTGTGTACTCCATCTGGTGAAGTCCATGTGCATAGCCATCATTTATGTTCTTGTAAAAAGGTATTTGCAATGAATAAATCATTATTGGTCTTGCAAATTCTATCATGTGATCTCCAGCATTATTTCTATCACCAAGGCCATATTTTTGCAACTACCTATGATTCTTCTTTGTTTCCAACTTTTGCATGCCAGTCACCAGTAATAATCAACACATCTTGGTTGCATGTTTGGTCTATTTCAGACTGCAGAAGTTGGTAAAAATCTTCAATGTCCTCATCTTTGGCTTTGGTGGTTGGTGCATAAATTTGAGTAATAGTAGTATTAACTGGTCTTCCTTGCAGGTGTATGGGTATTATTCTATCACTGACAGCACTGAAATTCGGGATAGATCTTGAAACATTCTTTGTGATGATGAATGCCATGCCATTCCTCTTCAATTTGTCATTCCTGGCATAGAAGATCATATGTTTGTCTGATTCAAAATGTCCAAAACCAGTCCATGTCAGCTCACTAATGCCTAGGTTATAGATCTTTATGTGTTCCATTTCATTTTTGACAACTTCCAATTTTCCTAGAGTCATACTTCTTACATTCTATGTTCTGATTAATAATGGATGTTTTCAGCTGTTTCTTTCTATTTAGAGTCATACCACACCAGCTATTGCACTAGGTAAAGGAATGTGAGATATTCTTATGGAGGTCTCCACAGCTATACTCTATCCAAGTTATTAAGATCAACTCTACTTTAAGGAGCGTACTCTTCTCCACTCATATTCTGAGTGCCTTCTGACCTCAGGGGCTCATCTTCCAGCACTCTATTGACAATGTTTCAGGGCTATTTATAAAGTTTTCCAGTAATACATTGGACAGTGTTTCACTGCATAAGGTTTTCACTGGCCAACTCTTTGAGAAGTGGATGGTCCTTTCCTTCCTCCAAGTCTGTCATAGTCTGGAAGCTCTGCTGAAATCTGTCCACCATGGGTGAACCTGCTGGTATTTGAAACACTAGTGGCACTGCCTCCAGCCTCACAGCAACACACAAGACACCACAGTATGACAACCTGATAGATAAGTGATGAACCTTCAATGACAGGTAGTATCAATGCAATTGTGTTTATTTGAAAACATATCTGTTGCTGCTACTGTTCTTGTTAAGAGCATTATCTGTGAGTCACTGAAAGAATGTGTCCCTGTGAATTTTATCTGAGGGATATTTATGGAAGTTTATTTTTTATTGGAATGATCTTCTC